CCCCTTCCCTGCCTGTGACCAACTCTGCTGCACCCGGCTGCCATCACCTCTTCCCCATTCAGCTGCAACTTCCGCCCATTGCGCCTCCTTTCTATCCCCATCCCAGTCAGCTGCAATCCATCTTCACCTTTCTCTAATCCTCCACCACGCCCGCACTGCCACACACCAGGCAGCCACCTCCGCCTCTCTCTCTTCTCTACACATTCTTCTGCTCTCATTCCAATCTTCAACCATCTGCATTCCAACCATCATGCTGCTCACCTCTTTCCCTGCAACTCCCATCGGCCAGCAACCAACCACCATCTTTTCCCACCTCGCAGCCAACTGCCATTGTCCTCCACCCTGCTGCCCCTTATCTCTGCCACCAATTTCTACCACCTCCGCGCCTTTCTGCTGCAATCATGTTCACTGCGGCCAGGCAGCCACCCCATGTGTCTTGAATCACCACCCCGCTATACCGTCTCCATCACTCTACGTCGTCCTCCCACTTAATCTCTCCACTTGCAACCTCCCGCTTTCCCCTTCCCTCACTGTCCTTTCTCTCTCTAAAAACCCACAAACGAAACTCACTTTCCCTTCTTTTCGTCTTTTTCTTTTCGTTGTAGGTTTTCGTTAGTTTCGTTTCACTCACTTTCTCTCGCCCTATTTCGTTCAACCTAACAAAAAGCACTCCACTCTCTCTCTCTCTCATCTAAATAACCTAATAACCCACTTTGTCCCTTCCTCTTAGCCAAAACGTTACTTTATTATTATTATTTATACTTTAGTTTCTTCAACAACAACCCCACATTTACTCACGCTATCTTTCTTAAGTAATTCATAGGTTCTATTTTATTAAAACGTCCTCTCTCTCTCTCTTAACTAAGTGATGGATTTGATTTATTAGAACATCCTTCTCTCTCTCAACTAATTCATCTTTATTATTATTTTATTAAACACTCCTATTTTATTCCTTTTCACGTTTGTCCTTTCTCCTTATTCTATTTTCCTCCTCCTTTTCATTTTATTTCATCCCTATTCCATTTTACTCCTTCCTTTCATTTTATTTCATTTACCATAATTAACTTCCCATTATACCATGTTATTTTATTTATTTTTATCCTATCTTATTTTCTTTTATCCTTTTTATTTTACCCTATTTCAATTTATTCACTTTATTCTACTTTATTTCATCTTATTTTAGTTTACTCCTTTTTCAACTTTCTAATTTTATTTTATTTTGATGTTGTTTTAATCTCTTTCATTTTATCTCATTCTTTGTCATTTTTATTTCACCATCACTTTTATTTTCACTTTCATCTCTTTTGGAAGACCTAGCGAGAGTCGAGCTAGTCTTCACTTTCTCTCCATCGCTTGTTTGACCAGAGGGTAGGCTGAGCCTTGTGCTGCCATGCCAGTTTTGTCGCCAATCAGTTTAGCCACCGTACCGATCTGAGTTACTATGCCCTTCTGTCACGTCAGACTAGCCATTGCACCAGACTAGCCGTCGTGCCAATTTTGTCGTCGAGCAGTTTAGTCAGCGTGCCAGTCCAAGTCACTGTGCCTGTCTAGCTGCCATGTTAGACTAGCCATTGTGCCAGGCTGGTCAGTGTTGGTTGTTTGTCGTTGAGCAATATTGCCACCGTGCTGGTCTGAGTTACCGTGTCCGTCTTGTTTCCATGTCAGACTAGCCATCGTGCCAGGCTAGTCGGTGTAGGTTCAGTCGTCGAGTAGTATTGCCGCCGTGTTGGTCTGAGTTACCATGCCCGTCTTGCTATCACATCAAATCAATCACCATACTGGTCTTGCCATTGTGTTATCCTAGCCGCCTGGTCAAACTTCTTCTCTCACTTTTGCTTCTCTTATCTATTTTCTTTTCTTTTCTTCTCTTATCTCTTTTATTTTCTTAGGATTTGATTAGGATTGAATGTTCAAATAACTTGGTTATATCTTTGGCAGAAATTCTTGGATGTGGGGTTGGTAAGTTTCCTTGCAAATATTTAGGTATTCCTTTATTTCAAGGAAACAACTCAGCAACTATATGAGACTCTATTATTGAAAGATTTAATAAGAAACTAGATTTATGGAAGTTTAAACTGTTGTCGTTTGGAGGGAGATCTACCATTACGAAGTCTACTTTGTTAAACTTAGCTATTTACTTTGTCATTTGGTGGAAAATCTACTATTACGAAGTAGGTGGTGAAGACTTTGAAAATATTATGAGATCTTTCTTATGGGGATAATGTATGAATAGGAAAAAAGTGAAACTTGTGAATTGGGAAAAAATATACACTTTGAAGAGAGATGGGGTTCTAGAAGTTAAATAACTCAAATTGATGAACATAACCTATTGACTAAGTGGTGGTGGTGCTTCCAAAATTAGAAAGATGTTTTATGGGAAGAGGTGTTAAAAGAAAAATATAGATAGATGTGTTGACTACCTCATTAAAAACCCAAGATATAAAATTGGTTTTTCAAGTATTTGGAAAGGAATTGATGTGTGTCGATCATTATGTCTTAGTCACTGTCGCAAAGTAGTTGGAAAGGGAGATCAAGTCTTATTCTAGTTTGATAAGTGGCTAGGAGACTTTGTGTGACGACCCTAAAATTTTTAGAATAGAAAAATAATATTAATAGTGTTGATAGAAATGCATACAAAATAAATAAATAAATAAAATCAAAATAAAATACTTACAATAAAGAAAAAATTTTGAAGTGATAGTTCATTGTGTCAAAATAATTATTATTTTCGCATAAGGATTAGTACTATACCCAATATTCATTGGCCGGTAACTTCACATTTTCTTGAGGATGCTAAATAATAGGAGGAATATGATGACCCTAACTTTTTTGAAATTACAATAATAATAATAATAATAATAATAATAATAATAATAATAATAATAATAATAATAATAATAATAATAATAATAATAATAATAATAATAATAATAATAATAATAATAATAATAATAGATAAAATAAAATAAAACAAAATACTTACAACTGGCTAGCCTAGATTACAAGCTCGCGTAGTGTTGTGCTTGAACATGATAACTTTTTGCTTTAACTAGATATTTTCATTATTTTTGTTTAAATTGGTGCTAGTCTATTTTTATAGTGTAGACCTTATGATCTGTACTTCTTTTGTATTATTTTTTACTTTAAAATAGAGGTTTATCACCTGAGGTCGCAACCCAACAGCCCATCCATGTCGTTGAGACACCTTTATAAAAGGTATTAAAATTTTAAGGGCTCTCGTGCTATACTCTCTCTCCCTCTTATAAAGGTATACTAATTTTAAAAAGGTCTCTCTCTGACGCTCTACTCTCTCTCATAAGAAAACCTTTACGGGATTAGTTTAAGGGCTGGGATTCTCTCTCATCAAGCGTGCTCTCGCTTTCGCTCTCGCTCTGACGCTCTACTCTCTCTCATAAGAAAACCTTTACGGGATTAGTTTAAGTAAGGGCTGGGATTCTCACTCATCAAGCGTGCTCACGCTCTCGCTCTCGCTCTCGCTCTCACTGGCATGCGCTCATCTCAAATCATGGTGGTCTATTAGCACGTATTTACTTACCCACATGCAAAACATATGACAACCATGTATTACGAGAAATTTTCTTGAGTTTACAGGATGGGATTTGGAAGATGGTGGGGTAAATCCAATATAGTACTAGCAATTACCTAGCAGGTGTCCTTAACAAGGCTGGCTAGGAGTCAAGGCCACACGATTTTCTATGTGAAAAAGTATACCCTTGATAGTAACCACAAGACCACGAAGAAAAAAAAACTAGGAGATGGGAGTGTTTTAGGTAATTAATCAATTTTTTTTAGTAAAAAAGAATATTTATTAATTAAGTTGGGTATAAAAAATATTGCCTATATCTGATGTGACATCATTATCATGTGATATGACATCACACAAATAAAGCATTAATTATTTTTAACAACTAATAAAATGTCATTAATTTTTTATAAAAATATGTCTTTTATATCTACAGATGACACAAAGTATTACTCCTCAAAAGCTTTTTACATTACAAACCAAGGGTAATGAGTATCAAATAAATGTAGAGTAGGTTAAGTACGTACTGCATGAGAATGAGGAGCCAAACAAAAACCAATAGTTACAAAGACCTACTAGGGTTTTTTCAATATGAAATTTTGAGAATCACATAAGTTATTTGGAAGATCATTCTCCAAAAGAAAATTTGAATTTTGAGTTTTTTAACACTTAAATCCCACCCTCCAAAACATGGATGGCGTCTTTTCAATCTTGAGCCATCACCTGTTGTAAGGGCATAAAGAGAGCCATTTGCAAGTTGTTTTCACTAAAGTTAGTCTAGGCTGTAGAGCTTACATCCCCAAAGAGTTGGCGCCCCAATATAATTCCTAAATTGGATTTTGCCCAAGGGAATAAATGGACAATATACTCTCACGGGAGAAAGAATATTTTGGGAATTGCAAATGTAGTGCAATTACATTCAACAACTATTATAGTACAATATTCCACAATTATTGAACTGAATAATCTTGAAATGTGTGGCAACGGTGTGGCCTGCTTTCTTTTCTTTCTATAGAAGTGAGTCAGTAAAACACTCAAAAGAAGACAACACGTATGATGTGAGATATTCATTTGAATTTTGAAGACAACAATTCATAACGTTTGTGGCAATGTTGTCAAATTTGTTTTGGAGATTTTTTCGGTTTGGTGAAAAAAATGAAACAAGTCGGTGCTTCGGCCCATTTGTGAAAATAATTCGGAATTTTTTTAATTTAATATATATATATATATATAAAACTCAAAATAAAAATTTCAAAAAAATATAAAAATACTATTAAATAGAAATTACTTTGTTTGGGTTGAAAAGGGTAATAAGTCCCACCCCCATTACGGAGGTGCCCTCTTTACCTTTATACGCACACCGTGCAATACTACCGCAATTGTGGCTCCAATTGAACGAAGGCCTCAAATATATGTGGTTCACGCCTTCCCTTTTGAACACGAGGCCAAAGTGATTTTATTTTCAACCACACTTCCTCTCTCGTTCTCTCTATCTCTCTCTCTTGCTCTAAATAGTTAGTGCCGATGAGTATTAGAACCAACTCATTCTCTCCAACATTCATACCTAAGATTAACCCCAAGCAGGTTACACCCTATATATATATATATATTAAATTCGTTCTATGTGTATTTCACTTGTATTAGAATTGTAAGCCACTCTTTTACAGTTGTGCCTTTAAATTTCGTTGAACTCCTCATGATTTTTAAATGTCGTTGAACTCCTCGTGATCCCTCACAGGTAGATTTGGAGACCACTCGGTTTAGAGATTTGAAGAGAAAATTGAAAAAGGTGATAAGTGGAGTCAGTGATGAGCTTGTATGATCCTAATTGACCACATCCAACAGCTTGGCATCGCCTACCACTTTGAAATAGAAATTGAAGCGGCTCTTGGTGGCATTTACAGAGGTTTTTCTGCAAATGGTTCTGATCACAATCTCTTAGTTGCTTCTCTAAAATCTCGATTCCTTAGACAATATGGATATAATGTGTCATCGAGTGAGTGAAACTTTAATCTATATTTTCTGATGTTTGGTGCTGATTTATGGTTTAAATAATTTCTCTAATTGCCACCCCATGTTTATTTCGCAGATGTATTTAACAAATTCAAGGATGGCAATGAGAATTTCAAACCCAGTTTGAGCGAAGATGTTATTGGTATGTTGAACCTCTATGAAGCTTCACACCTTCGAATTCAAGGGGAAGATATCATGGATGAAGCACTAGGATTCTGTGTCAAGCATCTCAGCACAGCATCTCGTAGAACCTAATATCACGAAAATAGTGAGGCACGCCCTCAAGCTTCCATTACACTTCTGAACCCCAAGGTTAGAGACCAGGCATTACATTGAGGTTTACAAATAAGATCCTCAGAGGGACCAAGAGTTATTGGAGTTTGCCCAAAGAGACTTCAATATGGTGCAAGCCATGTATAAGGGAGAGCTGAAAGAGGTCTCATTTAAGTGTCCTCACAAAATTCTTCTCTCTTGTGATATTAAGGACATTTTCTCAGTAGTGTCTTATCTTTCTTTAGGTGGTGGCGGGAGTTGGATATGGAAAAGGAGCTTGCATTTGCTAGAGATCAAATACACCACTGGTTTATGTGGCCTGTTGCAATCGTCCCTGAGCCTCAGTATTCAGAGTGCAGAGTTGATATAACCAAAGCCATTTCCTTCATCTACCTGATAGACGATATCTACGAGATGTACGGATCCATGGATGAACTAGAACTCTTTACCCAAGCAATTACAAGGTATGGGTAGATTTAATGCACAAACACAGATGCAAATTTAATGCCCTAAGCATCACTGAATTTCTAATCTAGAGACGATAATAATTTTTCGGGTGGTATTTAAGGGAAATCCATGGTTTACCCAAGTACATGAAGGTTTGCTATTTAGCTTTGCATGATGTCATACTAGATATTGCTCAAAAGATACACAAGAAACATGGACTCGCTATCACAGACTACCTATGACAAGCGGTAAAAATCATCTATCTTCTTCTAAAGATAGAGTTGCCCTAGCCTAGCATTGGTCCTGATAAGGCTAGCCTAGGCTAGGTCAAAGATGCCCATATCTATGCGTAGACCCTAGTCTAGCCCTCGTGTCAGGCCGGACTAGATATAAAGAAAAAGAAATAAAAAACAAAAATGATGAAAAAAGAAGGTTGAATTGGGTTGAACCAGGCCACCCCTATTGTGGCCTAGTTGTGTTGTTTTTTTTTTTTTCTTTTCTTTTTTGGTAAATATGCGTAGTTGCCACTTTGGGTTATTTTCAAAAGCATGCAATCACTCTTGAAGGTAATCACAAACTCAAGGTTTCTTTCCACATATCCATCATTTCAATACATGGGGTCTCTATAGATGTTTACAATAAAAAGTACCCATTACCTACATGATTAGATCACTTCAACTACCGATTACAAACAAAGCTACATGATCCGATAACTCTCACAAAATAACTAGCCACTAACACCCACATAGAGAGAGATAACTACCTATGACTCTTAACTACCCTCACATCAACTTAGAAAGAGAGATAAGGACACGGATATGGACCCCACTCTCCTATTATATTGCATTATTCTCGGCAACATCTACTTAGAAAGAGATAAGAAAGACACGGACCTAAACCCATATCTCCTATTATTTTACATCATTTTCATCAGGCTGCCCAGGTCCTCGGGCCACATTTTGTTGCCCTGGCCTTGGGTCTTAGGGTGGGGCGACAACATCCAGCGCATTAGCATCCCTATCTATAGAATTGTGTCACAAAGCATATAAATTTTCTCCCCAGCTAAATTGGAAATTTTGTATTATTATTGCAGTGGACCTCATTATGCGAAGCCTTTTTAGTTGAAGCAAAATGGTACCGATCTGGGCAAGTGCCAAGAGCAAAGAAGTACTTGAAAAATGCAGTGACGAGTACAGGTGTGCATGCTGTCTTGATTCACATGTATTTCCTGATGGGACACAAAGTAACAAGCGAGACTGCTCAACTCATAAGCAATGACCCTCAATTCATTCGCTGCTCAGCAACCATTTTTCGGCTTTGGGATGACTTGTCTACTTCAATGGTATGCACCACATCGACAGCTGTAGACACGTATCCAAATTAAATTAATTTTAATTTTAATTTTAATCTCTCAACATATATATATATATATGAAAAGCAAACTAAGCCAATGAGACCTCACCTAAAATTGTGGTCTCGAAACCAATTTTGGTAACAGAAATCTCCATAATGATTCTAAAATCAAATTTTGACTCCGACAATAAAATTTTAGATTTAAAAAATGGTACACGTCTTGTAGATCTATGAACACTTATTTTTTGGGTGAATGGATAGTTTAGATAATTTGTTACAATATAAATTAATTTAGAACTTGAAATCTAATTTTTTTTTCTTTTTTTTTCACAACCATAACGTTCAAGCAGAGATGATTGTTGTAAAGATTTTTCAATACTTGAATTACAAATTTCGATGAGCTATGAGGTGAGGTTTTACTTATTTTGATAGGCCCTATCAAACCATTTTCGACCTTAAATTATTGACAGTATATTTGTGGTTTGACAATTATCCCTTATATAACACGAACAACTGGTTATAAAATATGACAGGAGGAAAGAGAGAGAGGGGATGATTCCTCTTACATAGAATCATACATGAAGGAACATGAAGATGAATCAGAAGAGAGTGCTCGAGAACACACTACAAATCTCATTATAATAATGTGGAAGAGACTAATCCATGAGAGTCTCAAGCCAAGCCCCTTTCCACATTCCTTCACCATTTCAGTGTTGAACATCTCTAGAATGGCCCAAATCGTGTGCCAAAATCAAGAGGATTCCACCGTGAAGGATCATATGAAGTCATTGCTCCTGGATCCCATTTCCCTCTCTCTTGACGGATCGGCGACCCCTCCAAATATGCCTTCAACTTTATAAAACTAAATGAAAACTTTCTTCTTCTTCTTTTTTTTTATTTTTTATTTCTTTTTATTTTTTTTTATTTTTTTATTTTTTTAAGGGTTGTAATGGAGCGTGAGACGTTATATTGGGGTATCCACCATCTTAAGCATCAATGCCCTAACCCCATTTTCTCGTAAATTAAAAATTACTTTGTCATAATTACCATTTGTATTGGTGATTGCACACATATTGGGTTTAAAACCACTCGCATACATGTTGGGTATCATGAAAGAATTTGATAATGAATCAAGGGTTCATTGCCTATTCCAAATACATGAAATCTTTATGGGTCCATTTTGGAAAACTGATATTTTTGAAAGATATATTTCCTCGAAGATGGGCAAATTCCATTTGGATACTATCTAGATACACTTCCACTGCTTGTCTCTTTTTATTTATTTATTTATTTATTTTTGGACAGCTAAGCGGGAAAAGCTTTTCCAACTCATAGTAGAAATGAAACTCAAGACGTCATGTTGTGGTACAGGCCACCTTGATTACCTATTCCTTGAGCTCATTCCTACTTGTCTCAAATAGAATTGAAAAGATATTTTTCTTGAAATTCTTTATAACTTTTATTGTAATTTTTACCAAATTTTAAAGGTAAACTTTTATTGCTATTTGATTATTATAGCACAATTCTTAATAGTTTTCTCCAAAAGGGAAAGAAAACCAGTAAAAAATAAAACACAAAATAAAACTAATTAAAGGAAATCGTAAAATACATTCCCGACATCAATAAACATTGAGGGCAAAGCTGAGTTACCAAGCTTTGTAATGTCCATCAAGCCCAATAATACCTTGACAGATGCGCCCCAGAACCAGAGGAATTAAGGAAAAAAATTTAAAAAAGAAAAGAAAAGAAAATTATTTCAAATAGGGTCCATGAGAATCACAAAGATCCTAGTGCTCCTGATAGAAATTAAATTTCCTTTCTAAGCAAAAAATTAAATTATGAGGATTGATTCTAGGTGTGTTAGATACAACATAAGAGGATGCATAAGAGGTTTGGACCATTCATTCTAATGCACCAAAAATCATCAAATTGATTACTCGGTCGAGCAGGTGAATGGTTTCTAGGTTTATTCTTTTGACCGTTTTGGTCTCTCTCTTCCCCAAAGGAGACACTTTCCCTCACCCATTCTCTCTTTAAAACACTCACCAATCCTCTTATCTGCATGTTCCTTAGAATTCTGCCCACTCCAAAGGTACGTGAGCATTCGGTGCCCCTTTCTAGGAAAATTGTGCATTCAATGATGCTTGAAGCTTCAACGTTATGTGTAATCTCTCAATTTTCCTACATTTCCTATTGTTGTTCACCGTGACATCTTGCCTGCAACCCTATGGAAACATCAGATCTTTAAGGGCTTCGCCATTGATGCAAATGATCACATCACAGGCTCTACTGGGTAAAGGAAAACTTTTTGGAAAGAGGAAGGATATACAGACATATCTTTATTTCTTTCCAACTGTTCAATGATTGAACCTTAAAACCCAAAAGTTTTATTAAATTGCAGCTCCCATAGAGTAGACAAAAAACCTCATTTCCCTGTCCTTGTCTCCTGTGACTCCAAATTTTCGTGATTATAGGAAGAAAAATAGAGAAATTTCTCTCAAAACATCATTGCTTGAGCTCTCACACTCTTCTCGTGCAGTCTCCAAAGGAACCCCTTGAAGGCTTCATCTCACTACAAAAAGTGATGCGCATTCATTTCTTTTACTATTCATTATTCTCACTTCACTTTCTATCAACCAATAATATGAACGTGTGCTCACATGATGCTAAACATTAATAATTGAAACATACTCATTCTTGAAAAGGCATTTTTAAATGGCCAGAAATGATTAGATGAATGAATAAATAAATCATAATTATGCCAATTATAATAATAAATAACTTATTTTATACTGAATTAATACTATTATTTAATTAATGATAATAATAATAGTGACAATAACAATAACAACCAATATAAATTGTACCTAAATCTAAATAAACAGGAAAATATGGAATTTTAAATAACTTTCTTGGATTGACCAGAGTGTAAGGATTCATTTCGGGATTAAGAACTCAACTGTAAAGAGACTGACTGGGGTGCATTCCTTTGAGAGCTTATATATTAAGGAGTAATGCTAATATCTATTTTATATTATAACATCTATTACAATATATATTATCTTTTACTTAATTTTTAGGCTAACCCTAATAATAAGACTAACTTTTTTAGTTGGAACCCTTAAACGAATGTTAATAATTTCATGTTCATATTGAATGCGGGACTTATGGTATTTATGGGTATCTTAATAAGCGGGATAAGAGGGAATAAAGGGTGTCAAAGAGTGCACGTACATGCATTGTAGGTCTTATTAAAATGTTATACATAATGAAATTTGCTGGTACTATAATCGGAGACAATATAGTGATTTTAGCTATACCTATCTTTTCATACCATTAGACATTTATTTAGCGAAGCAACTAATTCTTTTCATGCAATATTTTATAATAGTGCATAAACATTTGATATACTAATTTGAACAATATAAAAGGACGTTATTTTAGTTATAGTTAATTTGGAAAATATCTCTCTTTACACTATTTCGAAGTTTTATTTACCAACTAGCTCAAAGTTTGAAAATATTTCGTAAAACATAAATATCCCACATAAAATATCTTCTAACCCCCTGGACTAGTGTTACTCATTTTGACTGCCACTTTCTAACCCTGACAAAATAAGATCGACAAATGTGTCTAACAATTCTAAACCCCACTCTATAACGACTCTCTCTCTCTCTCTCTCTCTCTCTCCATGTGTTTCTTCCCCAAAACCTCTGTCTCTCTCTTGCCCATCTCTCTTTCTGCACTTTTCTTTGAAGAGAGAAATAAAAGAACTCCTTATAAAGAGGCTTAAAAATAAATAGATATAGATGTTTTTCTTATTTTTGTTTGGGTTAAAAAAGGGCTGTCAAAAGTGGTAAAGTTGCTCCTAGATATATTATGTGGGATCTCTTTGTTTCCAGAAATTTTTTGAAACCCTGGGTTTGTTGGGAAATAGAATTTCAAAGTAGGATATATAGAGGTGTTTTTCCAGTTAACTCAATTATGATTATATTCAGTAACACTAAGATAAATAAACTAATAGTGCAAAATATATATTATTATGGTGTATATAAAATAAATATTGTATTATAAAATATTGATGATAATTTTGTTACTATAAGGCATAATCGCTTAATTACTACTTGTTTGAGTGTAAGACGTACCAATCATCTTAGGATGATTCTATTTATTTTGTCAATTATTATAATATTTAGTACAATATTAAAATTGTATTACTAACTATGATAACTACGAATATCATAATAATTAAGAATTAACGACTTCTACTAATAGAAATCATATTAGTTTTCAATAATGAATATTACTATGGTTTTGATTATCATTATTATTACAGCCTTTATCTAACTAATTGGGATCAGCTGCATGAATCCAGGTTTGTCATTCTTCTCTATTATGGATCATTGCGTTAGTGAGGCCATAAGTCCCTCGATTTCTCACTACTTCCAACCATATTATTTTGGGTCTATCCCATGCCCTTTTTGAGTCTTCCACTTGAACTAACTCACACGTCCTAATATGTGTTGTACTAGGCTTGCGCTGTATATGGCCAACCACCTAAGTCTACTTTCTCTCATCTTATCTTATATTGGTGCCATACCTAGATTCTTCTGAATGTATTCATTTTGATTTCTATCGTTTCTTGTCTTGCTACTCATCCATCACGACATCATCATCTTAGCTGCACTCATTCTATGGATTTGTTCTCTCTTGACCGCCCAACATTCTGTCCTATAAAGCAAAGCCAGTCTCACATTTGTCCAATAGAAGCCCTTCAACTTCATAAGTATGCGGCGATCACATCTGATTGCACATCTCTATTTATGTGTGCGACATCTTCCTCAACTAGCCTTCAAGATACAAAAATACCTAAAAGATCACACTTTCATTATATTGGGTTGATAATCCATGAAAATGGAGATATTGAGGAAGACGTCGCATGTAGAATTAGAGTGAGGGGAAAAGGAGATGTGCAACATGAGTTTTATGTGATTGTTGCATACCAATGAAGATGGAGGGAAAATTCTATAGGATAGTTGTGAGATCAACATTATTTTATGGGGCAGAATATTGGACGGTCAATAAACAACATACCAATAGGATAAGTATAGTTGAGATGAGGATTTTGAGAGAGATGAGTGGTAAGATAAAAAAGGATATATTTTGAAATGAATACATTAAAAGGAACTTAGGTGAAGCTCCAATAGACAATAAGATAAGAGAAAGTAGACTTATGTTGGCTGGGCATGTGCAACACAGACCTAGTTAATTATCATGAGGATGATATTAATTATGATTTTTGCTTGGTTATTTAAAGTTACCAATTATAAATTTATTTAAAAATAACGAATTGTAATATATGTGTCATTACTTATGAGTAATAGAATTTTGTTATCATAACCAATTGTAATATATGTGTGGTGTCTATAAGGTTGAAACCTTAAACAATCCAATTAAGGCACACCTCCAAATTTTATCATAGCTTATAATTTTGTTGTAAAACATTATTAGAATTATCTGAAAATCTATTTTCATATCTAAATAAAATTTAAATTCCAAAAATGGTTAAAATCAAGTAGATCTATAAACATATGTGTTATAGAGTATTTTTTGACCCATGTATCCCCAGTGAGAATAAGAAGGAAGCGAATTGTGATCTAGGCCTGCGGGTACTAAAATGCCTGTGGACTATAAAAGCACTGTTGAAATAAACCTGGATATGGAGCGAATTTTAAATGGCGATGGATTGGTCCCAAAAAGAATGAGGGGGTGGCCTTTGACTCCTTAAGAACACCCACCATGTTTCGTCGCAATCTGATGAAGTTAAGGTGGATCAGACGGAAAACTAATTTTCAAATTCAGCCCCTAATATGCTGAAAAAGCACCTCTTAACTAAAGCCCTGCTATGGGGACCTCTGATGAGTACTAGACTACTTCCATTGGATTCAGAAGTTTCGAAAACCTCAAGATATCAAATTTCAGCTCATTCGGACACTTCTGGACCTTTCTGAGACCAACTTACCCAAAAAGGGTAGATTATATAATT